TAAAGCTTTGGGCCTGCGATGCCAGTCACTTGCGAGCCAGTATTTTGAACATTGAGTGTTAAATTGTCCATCAGAAAACAAACCCGCATCACTAATTGCCAATTTTTTGTTATCAAGTACAATACAAGAAGCTCCACCAAGATCATAGCTATCGGCCTCACACACTATAATATCAACTTTCATTTCTTCACCACCACACTTGATTGCAAAACTTGAATCTGCAGTTGCAAAAATACACTATGCTATCAATTTGGTCTAGTTACCCCAACTGGAGCTGAATTAACAAACAATTTATAAAGCCACAGTAGCATCTATATTTAAGCAAAATAATGCAGGGAGAAAGGTAAATTGGTAGTACACTAAATTTTAGAAAAATAATTATACATCAGAAAGAAAGACGCTTACAGCGTGGAGCATTCTTATTGCAGGGGAAGTTTCTCTGCAAACAGTTCAATCCTGGGAGAATACTGGCAAGCACAGAGAATATTACCAGTTATCTTTGTTAAAGCAGCATATTCCCTTGCCGAGGTTTTATATTTCTCGTAATTTGTTTCTTTAAGTGAGAGCCTTTTTTCAAAAATAAAATCTAATACCTTATTTATCAAAAATGAAAATATAACTAACTTGATGTTTGAGCTTTCAAATGTGAAATTGTTGGCCACTAGATTCCTGTTCAATTCAATGCAAAGATAAATTATACTTCAAAGTTTGAAGTATACTAACTAGAGATGTATTATATCAAAATCATAGCATGACAAATAATCAACTATTTTAGAAAGACATCAGAAATGAGCTGTGACTTTATTGTACGCAAAATGGTTATTCCAAGTGACATTTGTTTGGACATCAGAAATTCAAGCACATCAAGGCAATTAGTCGGGCGCTGTTAAGTTTTTCTGATGATTGTTACATGATAAGAGAAAATTGAGTCACCAAAGTGCTAAGTGTTGGCCATGAAAATGAATACTCAAAAATTTCCCATACTGTCATCTGGTTCTCTTAAATTGGCATGATTGTCGTAAATTTTATTGTTGATTAATTCATACAATCATGTAAAACATTATAATCTATTAACAAAACAAGGAAAGAGGATTATTGAGCTCCACAATGCCTAAGGTCCAAAGAAATGTTTAATTTTTAGAAAATGAAGATGGAAAACGAAGCTATTATGGTTCAAGAGACATACAGCTGTTTTGAACCTGTAGTCATCCACGATGAAAAAGTTCCTGATAGATAATTGTAAGATTAATCTCTGCAGGAGTACATTAAGCACCAGTTAGAAGGAATCATATGAACCAACATACAAATCTAAAAAAGGAACAAATCACTCAAGATTTTCAATTGCTTTCATCAATTACTTGTCACAAAAAAGTGGTCACAACTAACTATAGTTAAGATTTTTAAATTTTAAATGTGGTGGCCTATTTCCAAGGTACATATCAGGAGCACTAGTCCCTTTTCATTCTTCTTCATGTTGCATGGAAAAATCTTTGTATGAAGATATTTATCTTTCTCGTTCTTCTTGATCTATTCCTGAAACATTTGGCACCAATACCTCTCCACTCTTCCAAACTGGAGCCTCTAAAACTTTCAAGGCAGATACAACAAAAATGGACATATAACATCCATCTAACTAGACAAGATATAATAGGGCATAATTCTCAAGATAACTGAAATTAAGGCTTACATGTTTTGAAGATATAGAGTATTTTGCTGAGGAAGGTTCCTGACAGACTATTGTTTCCGAGAAACCTAGTGAGAGAAGCAAAAAACAAGTGAATTTACATTTAATGAAAGAACAAGGATCAGACAAAATCTAAAATAAGAAACTAAAACTAACTTAAATACAAAGTACTCAAATCTAGAATCGATAGAGGGAAGCTTTCAATAAATTTACAAGTGAGTAAGAGAATCGACACTGAATAAAGCACTTGGGATTTGACGAATTAAGTTCTTGAAACTCAAATCCCTGCAGAAGTAGGAAAACAAGTATTTAAAACAAAGAAAAAAAGAAAGAAAAAAGGCACACGCGCATAAACAATAAGAGACACACTCATAGCATTACAACTTACAGTGTCTGAATAAAGCACTTGGGATTTGACGAATTAAGTTGTGTTGATGATTATTGCAAACTGAGCTTGAAGATCTTAACAAGAAGCGAAATTAAACAATCAGATATTCTTTCAAAATCTAACTTCTCTACTCTCCCTTTGATTTTGAAAATGAAATAGAACGGCAGATTAAGAATATGGGTAATTTTGGAATTGACTATAATACATATTATAGATTAATTTTCTAATAAATTTAAAAATATTTACTAGGGTATAAATGGTTAAATACCACCACTCAATAAAGAAAATTTTCAAATTAACCCATATCAATCCAAATGGATCATGAAATTATCAGAAGAAACGGCGTTGTGAAGAAACATTCCATTGATCATGTTTTAAGAGGTATTTATGATTTTTACGTTTTGGCTTTAGGTTTAAGAATTAAGAATTAGATGCACAATTGAATTAGGTATAAGCTGATTCTTATTCTTTAGCCTCTATCTACTTGGGCTTTTTGTAGTGATATCTATTTTACCAATGGGCTAGTGGATTTCAAGAATGCTAAATACACCCCATATCTTTGGAAGTACACCACTAAGGTTAATTTTGAGATCAGTGTTTGCAAATGAGTACGTTTAAGAAAAGTTGGGGTATACTTAGTGATTCACTTCTTTGTTTTGAGTTCTACGTGAAAATTGGAAAGAATTAACTTAAAAAAGAAGAAGATATATTTGTTTAAAATCAACAAAAAAGTAACCCCCCCCAAAAAAAAAACCTTTAAAAAAAGGAACAGTTTCTTCGTATACAGATAACTAAGCTTAATCAGAAATCAAAAAGCACTTTTGAGAATTATTTTTTGGTTAAAACTTAAAAGAAAGAGTAAAAGAACTTACCTTCGATAAGATCAGTAGTGGCAATTTGAGCAATTGATTTTTGAAAGATGAAGCAAATGCAGAATAAATGAGCAAAGATGAAGAAGAAGATGAATCAATTTGAGCAGTTGATTTATGGGCATACTTAGTGATTCACTATATCTGTAATTGCAAAATTTGAACAGTTTTTTTTTGATGTAATAGCAAAAAAAATTCGGAGGTTTTTGATACCAAAAAACTCCCCATGCCATTGAAAGTCGTTAAAATTTATACTATTACAACTACGAGTTAATAAATATTTCCTTCAACTGTTTATTATAACACTGACAACTGGATATTAAAAATTTTTATTATTTAATCAAATCTGAGGGGACTAGTATCATTAAATTTTGACTATTATCACATTTTCACAAAAAAAAATAAAAAAATAAAAAAATAAATATTTCACTTATAAAGTATGCATTCTCTCCAATTAAAATATGCGTAATTTCATCTTTACAAGATTTATGTATTCAGAAATTAGGATGAATTATTAAATTGGATACTTTTTTTTTTTTTTCTCATTTAAACCCGAGCCCAATTTGAGCATTAGCGCCAAAATCTAAAAACAGAATAAGATTAGACTAATTACTAGTTTTAGTCAACAACTAATTGATAATTAATAACATAATTTTCTATTTAACTAACTAATTACATATTGGCAACATGCTTGAAACCCTCCCTAAGTATAAAATATCAAACCAATCATTACCAGAAGAAAAGAGAAAAAATTAAAGAAAAAGAAGAAAGTTTGCTAATCTTACATAAAAGTTAAGTTCTTAAGGTTTCCATGCTCTCTCGGGGGAGGCCCCGAAAGCATAAAGTACATTGCGGCCAACCTCTCTAGCACATGAAAGAAAAAGTTATAACAAAATCAACATTCATGTACCAAAAACAATCATATATAATCTAACCTAGGTTTTCAATCATAGGGGTATTTATCAATATTTACAAATACTTCAATTCAGATAAATTTCCAATAAATGCAAGCAAGAGATTAGTGAAGTAATTTCGTTTGATTCTACTGCAATGTTAAATAGAAAAACTAAATCAAATATGATTTAATGTCCATTAATTAGAAACGATGAAGGTCAAATTTTACTTATACAAATCAAACGCAGGGAAATGAATGGGAAAATCCATACAAATTTGTCAGAAATTGCAAAGCCACTAGTTCTTCTGGAATCACTCTTTTTATGTCCACAGCAAATATAGTCCTGCAAAAAATAAAGATAAGTTTCAATCATATCTCCTCAAATTTGATCTGATTACAGATGCAAACTCTCTTGCCTTAGGAAAAATACACACTTGAAGGATAAATTGTATACACAACTTTAGGGAAAGTTTTAACCAAAAGTTAGGATCCATCTAAAGCATAAGATATAATCTACACAATATAGCATAAACAGTTCAATAAAAAGTTATAAATAATTCAAAAACCAATGCCAATACCACAACATTAACCCAAAACCTAATCTCAATCTAAGTGAATGTAATCTGTCTATACTTGAAAAAAACCTGAACCAAGTGAAAATTCCCCTAAATTTGGTAGAGAGAAAAGAGATTATAGCTCAGTGATGTGGCAAGTTGAGCCATTTTTAAACGAACAGTCACATTTGAAAATCCAAAAAGTAGTGGGCGAATTCCCCCAGTGGTGCCAACGATGTTGCAAATCCACCCACCACAAAAATGAAATGTTTCATAACCAATTTTGATGGAATTTTCAACTTAATTTTGTCCCTCTTTATTTAGCTTTCTCCTGCACAGCTTTTAAACAAAATAGAATATATTTTGCTAAATGGGGTTCACTTCAATCTGAAGCTAGCTACACATAAATTAGTAAAGTTTAATATTTCTTTGAACAATTCTATATTCAATAATTAAAACAAATAATTCATTTATAAAATGAAATACACTCATAAAAGAAAGGAAGAGAGAGAGTACCTTCATTAGGGTCAGTAATTTGAGTTATGAAGTTGTGAAATAAGAAGAAAAAGATGAAGCAAAAGTGGGAAAATCCTAAAGAAAAAAGTAGCATATTGGAATTTTTAAAGTTGAAAATAAATCAACATATTGGAAAATTGGATAAGATGCAATTCTAATCACATATCTATAGAAATATTATTAATCAAAGTAGAATGTTTCTGTCAAAATGACAAAAAATTACACAAATCTTGAAAATTGTACAATCTAAAAACCAAATAAAATTGTACCTGAAAAACGAGAAGCCAATATCCAATATCAATGCTTAATACATAGAAGAAGTAAAACGTATAATTCCTCTTTATAGAAATGCAAGCAAGCTTCCAAGTAATCACAGATTTTCATAAAATCAATGATCTTTGAGGCCATGGGTATACCAACAGAGATTTTGTTATTTGATTAAACCTCAGGGGTTGACATCAAAATCCAAGTAAAATGGCTTCAACTGTGATTCTGAGTTTTCAAAAACATAGTATGCAATGCAATGCATCATATGATAACCTTTTTTTTTTTTTTTTTTTTTTTTTTAGGTTAAAGAGTTTTTACGTTAATCAGTTTCATAATGAAAGCAATATGATCATCATACAATCATCCCACTAAAAACTATATACCATTGATGTAGGATAGAATTAAAAACAGAGAAAATGAGAGCAAGAAATAGATAGAACAAGAGAAAAAATTGAAACAATGAGAAACTAAAGAGAAACAATTTATTCATCATATTGTTGCTTTCATCTGTCTGCATACCAAAGACAAGACAGCAAGCCTATAGTGGCCTAAACAAAACAAAATGCTAGAAATTTACCTATAATTAAGTCATTCAAATTCTATTCAAAATGGAAAATCTAATATATAAATCTAAATCTAACTTAAAAGGGTTATGTCTCCAAGTTCCCAAAATAGAATCTTTCCTTAAGGAACAATATCATTTATATTCTTGATTCAGCATCCGCCACTCCAAGCAATGGCATAGAAGAAAAGAGAAAAATTTAAGAAAAAGAAGAAAGTTTGCCAATCTTACAGAAAATTTTAGTTTTTCAGGTTTCCAAGCTCCTTTGGGACAGGCCGAGAAAGTGCATTGTGGCCAACCTCTCTAGTACATGAAAGACTAAACTATAACAAAATCAAAACTCATATATCTAGGGGTGTTAAAAAAAATACAAAAATTTGAGCAGTGGATGTACAATCTTCGGCTTTGACAACTCGTGAAGATATGCTAGAACTCTTGCGGTTCCCAAGCATACCTTAAATTGGGTGGGCCAATCAAGATGTAACACTCTATTTCCTGCAGAAACGGGGCACAATCATGAAGAACTTTTAAGAGTTATAGAAATGGAAAATTGAGGATTTAGGAATAATAATCTCCAGGAATGATTTGGACCTCATTAAACCATTGACAATCTGCTCTAGAAAAACTTGTTGCTTGCTCTAAGAAATTTAGCTAGCTATTTTTGTAGTTTTGGATCTTCTTTAGAGTTGTGATGTTGTCACTAAAGGCATATCACAAAGCAGAAAAATATTTTATTCTTTAAACTTTGGACTGGTTAAAATACTTGAAAGTCATCAAAATTGTATTCTGTACTACAAGATTTATAGTTAATAAGTGACTGTAGATCATACAAGAAAGATCACATGTATGATGTTTCAGTTGCTTGCAAGAAAACCAAGATAGAAAACTGTAAAACTAAGTTTGATTATGAAATAGTAGTTTCCTCATATCAAATAATGCTTGATCGAGACTTTTATTTTCATGATATTCATAAACAAGAAGGTGCCTTGTTCCTTCAATGTAGCATCCATACAATTTCACAAGATTACGATGTTGCACTACAGTTATGGCAGCAATCTCGTTAATAAACTGATTTTTCCCTTGGTGGGATCCTTGTGAAAGTTGCTTCACAGCTATCACCCTTCCCTCAGAAAGCGTACACTGTAATGCTAGATTTAACAACATAAATCATATCTACTCCTTGGCGAAAATGCAAAAACTAAAACCAACCTATTTTTCCTGTTATATTGCTATCTATGACCACGCATTAGATATAATCCATTACAACCCAAGATTCCAGTAAACTATCTATAAGTTGTAACTTCTAAATGTAAGACATAAGAGTTACCTTATAAACTAGTCCAAATCCTCCCTCTCCTAGCTTATTTGAAATGTCAAAGTCTTTTGTTGCAGATTTCAACTCGGCATAAGTGAAATTCTTCGGTTTAGGTCCTATTCCATGTAGTACTGCATATTGAAGCAAGACAAATGATTACATAACCTTGAAGGACTTGCAATAGAAGAGATGAATTACAGCAGCAACTTTGCTTGTCTTATGGAATACACTATTGCTAGCCCATATTTTAACAATGAGATATTATAGATCCAGTACTTATGTTTCAGGAGTGCTAGAATATAATTCAACACTTCTGTTACAACCATATTCTGGTATCTACTTTTCTCAAATGCCCCTAGAACCTTTAACTTTGAGCAAAAGTGAATAATGCAAATTAATTGATTTTCATGAAGAAACTTGGTTTTAGAGATTTTATGACTAGTATTACTGTTAAATTCTATTGGGTTTTCTCACCTTCTGTATCATCTTTGTCTTTTCTCATCCTCAGGTAAAGAACTCAAAATATCGGTATGATGCCCAAAATCACAAGAGGGAATGTAATAGCAACAATCAGCCTAGTCTAGTTCTTCTTTTGTTCAAGACCAATAGTTGGTGGGAATTCTGAGTAAAATTTAGTAAGAAGTATATCAACAGAATAGCACTTCTATAGTAATTCATCTAAAACGAAGTTTCGGAGGGATCACATAGTTTACCTGGAGTGACACTATCAAATTAATGGTCCATAACTACCTGCAGCAGGTACACAGTAGGTCCCCTTACCAGCCCAAAATAGTTGAATCTCAAGATGGTTATCAGTCACATTAGCATCAAAGCTTCTGCGAATTGCTCTTCTGAACCCACCTGCCTTCTTTGTTATGTCAAAATCCTTCAATTGGTGAGTTCCCTACATGATATTTGAGGAGAGACAGTATTATACTTTTCAATATAAAAATAAATAGATGGCAATGTAATGGTAGAATCAGTAAAGGACAAGGATCGAAATTACAATTTGATGACCGAATGTTTACCTGAATATACACATCAAAAACACATCTTCTAAGACTCCCCCATTTTCTTGAGGTTCAATCTTCATAAATTATTTCAGCAAAGAACAAGCTTACATTGTAAACCCATTCTTAAGACATCATATTTGAGTGACCCAGGGGATTGTTTTGTTGTCTGATAAAGATTTGGTGTTGTAGTGTTAATCACTTCTGAGCCGGTATTTTCAGGAAGTGTGTTAAATTGTCCCTCAGAAAACAAGCCCACATTACTAAGTGCCCATTTTTCAGGATTTAACACATTAAAAGAAGCTCCACCATTGTCGGCTTTGTGCACTATATTGCTGACCCTCAATTGTTTACCACCACACTTAATTGCTAACCTTGAATCTGTAAACGCAATGATAAAAGCTCTAATGATAATATTAATTTGAATACAACAAAGAATCAGACAAAATTTGAGAAGTACTTTTATTTTAATAACTTCCAGTAACTTAATACAAAGATCATCGCTAAATCAAACTATAATATCTGTACACATATTTATCAGACATGGAGCTTGATGGAGAACTATTATTTTGAAAGTTTATGGCCAATGCATACATATAAAAAAGAAGAGTTAACAAAAGGAAGGAGAAACAGAGAATCATTAGTTCAAATGTTTTTGAAATTCAGATCTAATGATGAAGAAGAAGAGCAATAAATATATTATTAATATTTACATACTAAATGATGAAGAAGAAGAGAGATTGATTAGTCATACCTAATTTTCCGTCGATTTGATGATCTTGCCATCGAGTCGAATGTACGGGATATGAGAAATCTTGGACCAATCTTCACCTGTTTCCGGTTCACATCTTTTGCTCAGTTTAGGACTGTCTTCAATTGCTAGTTCTCTCAAAGAGATGAGACGATCCATATCCTTGGGTAAAGATGACAATTCTGGACATTTCCTAATCTTAAGAACTTGAAGTTTTTGCATCGACTCTGGTAATGCCTTCAAGTTGGAACAATTTACAATGAGCAACCTTTCCAAAGTGTTAGTGGAGCACTGAATAAGCCATTGCGGGAATTCCACCAATTTTGATAATTCATCCATACGAAGATATCGAAGGCAAGGCCAAGTGCTACTAAGTTCATCATGATTGTCTTGCTTATCTGATCCTATGCTCAAATCAAGATTAAGCCTTTCACAACTTATCAAAATAAGATCTTCTAATGAGCTTAGGCTTCTCACACCACGTGGTAATGAGATAAGTCTTGGACATTTAGAAATCAATAGAGTTTGAAGAACTCTTAGGTGACCAATATCTTCAAACAAATATTCTAAATTATTGCACTTGGAAATCCCCAAATATCGAAGAGAATTCAAGCAACCAATACCATTGGTTGGTAGATGCTTTTGTATCGTAGTTAAGTCGAGTTGTCTAAGACTAATTAAGTACTTTACATCTCTTGTTACCGCTTTTACTTCCTTACAACCGGAAAGTGATAGATATTGCAAATTTTGCAGCTTGTAAATGGACCTTGGGAGCTCTTTTATTTTACGATTCTTCTCTAGATCAAGATATCTCAAATGCTTCAAATTGCCAATTTTTTTAGGCACTACTTTAATATTTGAAAATTTTAAGTCTAACATCCGCAAGAATTTGCACCTTGAGACAATTAATTCCAAAAATGATTGGCTAATACTAGTACTTTCACCAGTAATTGGGAAAAAGACAATGCTTCTCAGATGACCTAAGTTAGGTAAAATGTTTGGAACATCTATTATAGGTGCATCAAGAAATTGAAATGATAAGTGTCGATGACCCTTGGTACAAATTTGGTTAGTGGATTTCACTATTAAGCACTCATTTCTCATCAATAATGTGGCAAGATCATGCATGAGATCATGAATTTTAAACTTGTAAAAATTCTCGTGAAGTTGTACAACATCTTGGAAAAAAGATCTCAACATTAATTCTTTTACATATTGCATACCAATATTTTCCAAATCTTGATTTTCATTGTGTGATTGAAGAAGCCCATGGACCATCCAAAACTGAACCAAATCAATACTATTAAAGTCAACGTCTTTAGGCCAAATGGAACAATAAACAAAACATTGTTTCAAGTGAGGTGGAAGATGATTATAACTTATTCTTAAAGCATTTAAAATGTTATTTTCTTTTTGATCCAACTTCCAAATCTCATTATCCCTCAATTTTTTCCAATCTTGTTCAGAAGTTGAGGAATAAAGTAGACTTCCTAATGCTCTTACTGCCAATGGAACACCTCCACATTTTTTAACAATTTCTATCCCAATTTGCATAAGGTTTGGGTGTTGCTTTTCTTGCCCTGCTTTAAATGCATATTTAAAGAACACTGACAAGCAGTCGTCAAGAGAAAGACCTTTTAACTTGTATGTAGGTATAGTGCCCATAATTGAGGCAACACGATCACTACGTGTGGTTACGATAATTTTACTTCCACTAAAACATTCTATTAATAAATTTCTTAATTCAACCCACAGCCCATAATCTTCATTCCAAACATCATCCAAAACTAACAAATATTTTTCATGGCTTAAGATATCACGTAGGATTATTTGCAATTGGTCAGTGCTCTTGTCAACATATTTTTTCCCAGTTGCAGATCCGATGATGTTAATTAATAGTTTGTTTAAAACAAACTCATCTGACACACAAATCCACATTTTCAACTTAAAAAATTCGTCCACCATTTTATCATTATACACCAATTTTGCAAGTGTGGTTTTTCCTAGACCTCCTATGCCAACAATAGGAATGACGGAAACATTTTCATGGCCATCACTTGGACGCAATAGTAGTTTCATAATCTTCTCTTTATCTTTATCCCTACCAATAACATCTGAAGCACGCACAAATGAGTGAGTTTCCCTCTCCCTCTCCCAACCTATAACTTGATCGCTATCAACTTTCTCAGTGAGATTAAAATTATCCTTGTCAGCTACTATTTTTGCTAACCTCTCTTTAATCTTCTTGATTTTATGCCCCAACGTAAAACGGAAAGCAACTGGATTTGAGGATGAAAAAAAGTGGCGTACCTTTCTTGTAGTGCTTTGACTATTCACCACTTGTTTACGCAAACCTTCCACCTCAATCTCGTCTAAAACATCTTCGGCATCGTAGCAGATCTCCTTAAGCTTTCCCAGCCAAACTTTGAGCTTCTCATTATGGATCTGCTTGTCCTCAGCATCTAAGAGAACAGCTTCGATAGTGGTTAAGGTGTCAACAAGCTCTTGTGCATCTTTTTTGATACACCATGCAAAGCCCATTTCATTGGAAGCAAGGGATGATAGCTTATCCAAGACTGACCTAGCAATAACAGAGGTGATTATTGTTTCTGCCATATTTTTGAAAGAAAGACAGTTGCAGGATTTTGTTTTTGTAAAGTAGTGAAGTTGAATTGTTGTATGAAATAATGATAAGCTAGCATCTACATATCATATGTATTATCTTCTTCTTTATTGAATTAATTATTGGACCATACGCTTCCACACGCAATTACATCATCACTTTGACCAAAGGAAATTTCCGACACGTCGCATTCTGCAACTTGCAAGCTTGCTTAGTTAGCTGTGTGAAACCAATTGGAATGGAACACTTATGCATAGATCAGGCAAGAGACACGTGGCAGTAATCAGTAACCAACCCGATTATAATTAAAAATGCAATTTGGGCTCCACGCCTGACTTTTGCTCATTTTCTCACCTTTGTTTTTACGAGATGCCTCTTCCACCGTCGATGTGGTTTGAGATAATGATGATGATCATCATCTTGGGATTAATGAATGAAATTCATCTTTTTAATTGCGTTAATTAATAATTAATTGTATTTACTAGAGATGAGAGAAAAGGTTGTATTATATTGTTGGTTTCCTCGCAAGATCGTTGATGGAGTTTTAATTTAGTTTTTTAAAGGGTCTTAATTTAATATCAACCGCCTAATACATTTAATTAAGGTGGTGTATAATTGACAATAAGCCGGTTCAAATACATGTGCGTTGAAGTTGAGTGCGACTGCCCATCTAACCCCTTGCTATAAGACAAATGTTTTGTATTATGCGGTCACCTAATCATTAAACAATTCAATGATAAATAATAAGTGTAGATAAATTAGAAAGGGTGCCGGCTTCAGTTGACCTTTTCACTGATGACCACATTATCAACTGCTTCCAATTAGAATGTCTTCAATGAAGTTAAATATTATATTTTGATCGATGATAAGTGATGAGTATTATATTTTGGTATTAATAAGAAGACTAACAAATCACTCATTGTTGGAACCTAAAGCCCGCATGACTGAAGAATGTAACTCTTTAGAGGGCATTACCTTTTCATAATTCATACATTTGCAAGATAAAATATTCATAATTTTCCCATGATCAACACGTTTTTCAAGCAAACTTTACGGATGAATGTAATTAAGGTAATTTACAAGCACAATGGTTTCAATTGTGATTTTGAGTTTTCCTAAATATAGTATCTGACCCATTGAATCATATGACACTTCTTGTTTATTTATCTTAAGACTTCCATTTTTTTTTTTTCTAGGTTAAATGGTGTTTACAGTAATCAATTTCAGAATAAAAACATTTTGATCATCATACAATCATCCCAATAAAACTATACGCGATTGATGTAGGATAGTGGGAGAAGAAATAAAAACAGAGAAAATGAGAGTAAGAAATGGATAGAATGAGAGAACAATTTGAGATAATAATGTGAATCAATTTGGCTATAAATAAATTTGATTTATGAGAGAGAGCCTATGTGGGAAAGGATCATATATATTACATTATTGGTAAAATATATGATATCATTCAATTAGTCAAAGCCTCCGGCCTAATCCAATAATAACACTTTCAAGCCGGGTATGTCAACATGATAATAACCATGAAATTATGAAGTTAGAAAATGAATTAACAGATTGGAAAATTGAATAATATGCCATTAATTATAATTAATCACGTATTTATAGAGATATTATTAATTAAACTACAATATTTTCATGAAATAACAAGAAAGGAATACAATGTTTTAAATTGTTCAATTTAAGAACACTTTCGATATTTAAGGTAGGTAATTAAGAGAGGAAGCATGTTAACGGATAACTAACATAAATTTATTCACAGCATTATGGACATACATATATACATATGTACATACATAAAACTATATATCAATGATTTCCTTCAAAATTCTTCTATACAAATATTAAAGTATCTACCCTTTAACTTAAGTTTCTTATTTTGTGATATTATGGCAAATATCTAATATTTGAATCTCTTATCGGTATCATTTTCGTCAATTTCAAATGAAGTTGATTTATCAAAAATTGTAGATATTTGTCTTCTAGAATTTACTAGGTAAATAGAAATCCAAATTAAAATTAAAAAAATTACAAATTTCTACAACAAAATATGGGGTCTTAACATTTTTGTCCTTAACTTTTTGGGCCCCAACCTTTCGAAAAGTGACAGTTTAGTCCCAAGAGCTAAAAGACGTAATTGCTTTTTGAATTCAATTGACAATTGAAGCATATATAGAAACTTGTATTGCCATATAGTATCCTATATAGGTGGCCTTTAAGTGAATTTAGACTTTGCGATCCTATTGGACATAAAGAGTCTTTTGCTAATCATCATACATATCAATGGTTGATTTCTTAAGAATAGTCATTGATAGAGACTCATAAACGGAAAATCAGTTTGCACTGGCACTAGGTCTCGACATCAATTCGCATTGCGAAGCATAAGCAACAATACAATTTGTAAAGCCACAGAGAGAGAGAGGGAATATTATAGAAAAATAATTAAACATAAAAAAGAAAGCAACTTATAGCGTGGAGCATTCTGATTGCATGGGAAACTTCTTTGAAGACAGTTCCATCCATGAAATATTACTAGCAATCACACATAAGTTGTTTTGCATCTCAACTGCCAATACCCTGTAATCCACTCATTGCTGGTTGGAATTTTTTTTTTCTTTTTATTTCAGAAAAATAAACTCCAATTTTGATAAGTGATTAAAAACAAACAAACACGAAACTGTACATAGTGCTCATACTTCCCATATCCAGAAATTCCAAAAGACATTCCAAATAAGTTAGTTGCAGACAAGATATTACAAGAACAAGAAATTTAGTGAACTTTTTCTCTTTACATCCAGCACGATGGCCATCAAATTCATCATCTAGTGTGATTGACATACAAGGATAACTTCACAACATTAAAAGTCCTACCATAGCTTGGAGGATAACAATCAATAAGTTAACTAGTTACATGGATTTTAGTGGGCAGAAGTAGCAGTATTATACACTCAGTTTCAGCGAGCAAATAAATTTCTCACCTCCCCACTGCTATCATGTCACTGAATGGAGCGACATTTACTGGAGAAAGCAACGGATCAACTCCAGGGCTATCATCAGTTGCATTTTACATTGGCTCTTCTTTCAGCTGTAACTTCTTGTAGAAGAGGATGTAACAATATCTTTGTTCAAAAGGCTACTTAAAAACCCAATCAGTCAAACAACTTACCTTTGAAGTAGCAGTTTCCACTTCGATCTCCCCAGCAAGCATGTTAAAGACACATGACATTAGTGGCCGTAACACTGGTGACATTTGACTGCACAATAGGCACTCCACTTATTCGTAGAGCTTTGATTTCATTGAACTCTGCTAAATTGGGATCCATCAGCCCCAAACTTTGGTTACTTTCATGAAGACTCCAGGCCTAGAAATATAATATAGACCATTCAAAAAGCGTAAGTTTTTGCATTAAGGTACATTGGAGAAAGAAAACAAAACAAGTAAAAATTCAAGTTTATTCTCTTTACCAATTCAAGAAGATAATTTTTTTCCCTATCCAAGCTAGTATCAGAGTTTGCTCTTCCACTCATAATCTCTAAAGCAACAACACCAAAACTGAATACATCAGCCATTTTTGTCAAGTGTCCATGCATTGCGTACTCCAGTGCCAAATAGCCACTGCAAGAAAATGAAGGGTTTCTCAAGGTTAAAATCCAAAAATAAAGTTTGGATATACAGATTGCTCTCACGGTCATTCTTGTCAATACTTGTATGTTGAGTGTTTGAAATACTCGCAACAAAATCTACCAGATATTTTGAAATACTCACAACAAAATCTACTAGATATTTTGAAATACTCAGCATCACCTACTAAAATGGAGTATTAAGGAAGAATGGTAGTCAAGGAATAATTTAAGCAACTTACCTGGTCCCTGCAACTCTGGTGCTGATGTGAGTTTTAGTGTCATCATACAGCTTTGCCAATCCGAAATCTGATATCTTCCGGCAGAGTTTTGCATCAAGTAAAATATTCCTTGTTTTGACTTCTCAATGTATGATCTTTGGCCTAGAATCCTCATGAAGATATGCTAGACCTCTTGCAGTTCCCAAGCATATTTTGAACCAGCTAGGCCAATCAAGATGCCTCTCCCTTCTTCTTGCATAAACATAGCTGCAATCATTAAGATCTTCCAAGAGTTATTAACATTGATAACTGGGAAATCACCAACAATTTATCTCCAGACAGGATTTGGAGCTTATTAAAATAATGTCAATCAGTTCTTTGGAAATCCTTTCCCTACTCTTGTACTAAATGCATTTTACAGAGCAGTGCAAATATTTCTCTTTATATATTAAAACATTTGAAAGTCATCGCAAATGTACTTTGTACTGCAAAATGTATTGTTTATAACTGGTAGTAAATCATAGGAGAGAAATCACATGCACTGATTTGGAGTTGCTTGCAAGAAAAGCAAAGTAGAAAATTTTAAACGAAGGTTGATCATCAATTATCATCTTCATACCAAACAATACTTCATCAAGACTTTTGTTTTAAAGATACTCATAAACAAGGAGGAGCCTAGTTCCCTCGATGCAGCAACCATCTAATTTCACAAGATTGCGATGTTGCGCTGCAATTATGGTAGCAATCTCATTAACAAACTTATTTTTCCCTTGGTGGGATCCTAGTGAAAGTTGCTTCACAGCTATTACCATTCCATCAAAAAGTGTACCCTTTAGCACCAGATTTATTAACATAAATCATAGCCGCTCCATCCTTGGTGAGTATCCAAAGGCTAAAATTCACCTATTTTTCCTGTTATACGACATTTCAACCCAAGTTCCCAGTGTACTATTTGTTGTTTGTAACTTGTAAATGTAAGATATAAAAGTTACCTTTTACACAGGTCCAAATCCTCCCTGGCCAAGCTTATTTGGATGGTCGAAGTCTTCTGTTGCAGACCTCAACTCAGCATAACTGAAAATTTTTAGTTTAGGTCCCATTCCAAGCAGCACTGCATATTGAAGCAAGATAAAGGAATACATAACATTGAGGATACATGACAAGAGATGAATGACAACAGAAGCTTT